ACTGCAGCTACATTATATATTTGTAGCAAGAATGGGTCAGCTCGACCGGGGAAGGACCTCACTCTCACAAAATACCAGCGTACAAAAATAACTTAGTGATGCTGTGTTTCGTACTGTACACCGTAGATCTCTTTTTACTGGAACCGAGGCATTCCATCTTAGTCCTCAGGTGTAGCAGTGTATCTTGATCATTAATTGACGACAAGCATTTCGATTGTTAATCGAAGATAGGAATAAGTGTTCATGAATCACAGCGTCCACTATCAGTCAGGTAGTCTCTGTGCTCGTTTGCTACTCTTATTCTTTAAAAAAAGGTATCAACATAAACACAAAGATTTCTTGTACATATAAGTATTTGCGTAAATAATATCTAATATTAATGTCCTCCAGACCAAATTTCGGTCACGGTGGCAAGCATAAACGGAGACAAGCCATCGCTGCAGGACAGGATTTAAGTGCCCAAGTGTATGTTCAACCACAGGGGCACTCTCTATTCCCTCACTCTCATAGTCCGATAGAAAGGTACGACCGGAGAGAGATCAGACGCAGGACCAACGGCTTTACCTGCTTTCCGAGGCACGTAGGTGAGCCACCGCCAAAATTCCTGACTCCTACTACTGCGGCTATTGGGAATTTCGTGACAGAAAAACTCAATAACTGATTTTTTGGCTCGACCTGGGATTCAAACCCCGGACCTCATGATCAGCAGTCGCGTTTACAATTACTAGACCAACGAGGCAGTCAGAGTTTTTTTGCTTACATAATAGTAATTCCGAACGCTGTTCGATGAATTCCAGTGTACAGAGAAACCCCATTCGGTTTTTCTTAAACCGTAATAGGAAAATTTAATATGCAAAATGCATATTTTCTATTTAAATAAATTAAAAAATCATATCAGCGACGGTAAGTTAAAGTTTAAGTTGCCTCAAAACCGTGGGTTCATATATATTTACAAATATTCTGAAAAGTCGATAAAATCTAATTTAAATCAAGCATAACTGGTTTGCGATCTTTTTGTAACTTATACAGTGTATACGGCTAAACCTAGGTGTAACTTAACTTCGGCTTATAGCCGTTACAATATACTTATATATATATATATATATATATATGTATATATACATATATATATATATATATATGTATATGCCATTGTGAATACTTTAAAGATGTGATCCCGCTGCCCGCTTTCGAATCTGAAATTATGATGTTGTACAATATAGTGTTATTATAATACATAATAACTTTCCTCCTGCTCCTGTCATATATATTGATATAAACAATGGCTCTAATTCAAGCTTCAAAAGTAAACACTGAAACTTAAGAAATTCCTCTTTGCATGGAGTTTCAGACTGACACATGATTCTCGGCTCAATAAACAATCATAACTTTTCCGAGTGAACTCTGTTAACAATGACCCACATAAATTCCTTTCTTGTATATTTTGATATCTGTGAATGTGGTAAACTTACTTGTGTGTAAGTTTGTGAAAATATAATATAAATAATTGTGTTGAAAGCCATGTAGTGGAGGAATTTGACGGCTCCGTGGTGAAGTGCTTTAGTAATGCGTTGCGGTGCTGAGGGCCTCGGGTCCGAATGCCGCACGGAACACGTATTTGTATGGGCTGCAAATAATTGCACGGGGTTTGAATGTTTGTCCTTGTGAAATGAATTTATCGAAAATGCCATCACAATGCAGAAAAAAAATCCTATTGTGGGAGTAAAATGACTGTGGAATCTACCTTAATCTATCGACTCATCCGTAGAATAAAGTCCGATCTGTAGGGTTGATAGTTTTCAGTAGAGGCTGGAGAAGTTTTTAACTTGTGCAACTCTTTAAAGGTGTGACTTAACATTTAGATTTTTTGGTATGTTGTAACAATGCCCTAGCCTAGTTTAATGATATGTAGTGTATATTTATTATCCCTTTATTTCATGAGATAGTGAGTTCCATATCAACATAGGACGTTTTATACGCAAAACAGCGGGGTCCGTATCGAACATCATACGTTGTTTTACGGAGACGTCTGAATTAAGTAGCGTTCTATATTGACATGGGTCATTTTTTGTTGGAATTAATCATCCCTTATGAGTCCTTTGTGAATATCCACCTTAAATATTTAAACATAATGTTAGCCTTATTATGACCACCCTCCTATATAACTAAATAAAAAGTGAAATTATTATTTAAAACCGTTTATTAAAAAAAATCAAAATAGATAACAGAATCATTAGATAGAATATCACTTTCAACAGAAATCATATCACAGTTAGGTATGGACTTAAAATTTATAAAATTATAAACTACAGAGCTATGTCAGTAATATAACAATTCAGAATACGCGCGTGAAGAACCTTAAACTTTGTGTTAGTGATAAAATCAACAGTAACACAATAGTTTTTTAATAACATTCCGTTTTATAGTTTTACCTATTAGACCTTCATGACCTAGACGAGATTATAGTATATAACAACAATTAAACTGTACAAATACCTAAAACTGCGTTTTCGGCGTAATAGTTGAATCATAATGTAGTAATTAAATGGCTTATCGTATCATAACATGGTAACTAGGTAACCTACACGACTATGTACGGACTTAAGAGAAAATATAGGCGGAGAGACTATTCAAAATAGATATTGTCATAAACCAAGAAAAAAAACAAGGGAGAGCGTTTCTATGGAGAAACCACCCGCATTTCCTCTTAAACTAGCAGTCTTAAACTTATAAAATGTACGTAAATATTAACATAACAATGAAAAATATATGATATGAATATGAAGATATTTAAACTTCGAACTAGTTATTTAATTCAAAATAAATCATATTACAACCAGCCTGCATAATATTATAAATCAGTCTTACATCGTGACCTAGACGTGGGTGCACATACTTAATAGCAATGACATTGTACGTAGACAAATATTAAATTACTTAGTTAAATACTTATTATAATTAACATTGTTTCGTTAATTCAGTAAGAATAATACAGCTCGAAAAAGAAGCAGCAAAAAATGGAAATAGTGTATCTAAAATATTTCTTATTCCGATAGATTATCATCCGATTCTTCAGAATCATCAATGTTGGTGTGATGTGGCAAAGAGTTAAAGTATGGATGATACTCTGAGGGAATTACTTCTGAGCGGCACATATCCATTAAGTCTTTATATTTAGCAGCAGGAACCATAATAGGCTCAGAATATGCAGGTTTTAGTTCAGTTTGTACCGAGTTTCTCGTGTTACTGCGAATCAATAAAATATTATAATCAAAATCAGACAGGTCGTATTTAAAAAACAATTTGTTTGGATCACTACCGTCTGCATGAACTTCTCGAATGTTACTCCAGTTAATCTTCTTGCCCTTAATGTCTTTCATCCAAACCTTATTATTTACAAGACATTTAAAGTCAAACACGTCATTCTGGGTTACGTTGCGGACATCATAGGGTTCTCCATTATTCTTGGCCCATCTTACTAATAAACGCCATTCATGAGGGGTGTAGATAGTTTTGGTTTGAGAAGCTCTCTCGATGATAGAGTGGACACTATCCCCCTCATTTTGGGTATGTCCCTTCTCTAAAAACCGGTGTGTTATGCATATGTTGAACATTTTTGCGGCGTAAACGTACAGTGAAAATACAAAGCGGTTACGATTTTGCCCAGCACAATTGTCTGACCAAAAGCGAAACTCTTTGGCTCCTTGGTCAACATTACTCTGGATAAAATTTAAGAGGCAACTGCTTACCTCATTTGCGCCACGTTTTGCCACAGATTCATCCCACATATAGCAAATGGCTTTCCTTTTCCCCATGTCAAAAACTGTGAAATTAAAAGAAGATAGCTTTCTCTTATAGTAAAATATGTTAATATTGCCATGAGGACACTGCAATACTTTTTCGAAATCAAATACAGCAGTAACCATTTTTCCATATGACTCTTCTGCGTTTTTTTTATCTTGGCTCTTTAAATCCCTTGCGACCTTTTTTATTAATCTGGTGCTGTTGAAAAGATTCTTTTTCTTGGTCCGTTGGGTTGTTTTTCAACCGGAAAACGTGACATTCGTTGCACTGATCCTTTTTGGGAATATGGAAAGCTAGATTGAAGTTTAAGTTGACAATATCACGATACTGGCGTTCTTTTGTAGCCTTAGAGGAGTATTTTTCAGGGTCAAACCATTCAAGATACAATTTGAACATTTTGGCAATACTTAAGTCTCCTTTTAGGTAGAGCTTTTGGCTATTCTTGCGTATATAATGCGATTCAACAGGGACGAATGCCCTAACATGGTCACAAATACTTTGTTTCATTGCGTCATCTATAACGATCTTATGATTGTCGTGGCGACCCCGTCTATCCTCCTCTAAAATAGCACTTCCATCGTACTTCTTCCACGCAGTCTTTAAGATACGAGTTGAAACGGCGAGAGTATTAATAAACATAGTTTGGCATACTTCAGCTTTCTTACAGTGAGATTCGCTAGAACCTGTAATCAGCGGCAGATAATACTTAAAAGTATGTTTCCTATTATTAGGAATATCTTGATTCATACATCTTTTCTTCTTCATTTTATCCGAATATTTGATAATGAAATTCCACTGCATAGCTCGATCTCCCAGTTGCCAAAATTTTGTGAAGCAGTCCAACCGCTGTTGGTGAGATATTTTATTAGAGCATTTGTAACGGCATTTGCATGATGGCCCCATCGTTTTATCGCCTACGGTTTTACCCTTTTTCGTTACATATTTCCTACCTAAGTTTTTAAGACATTTGCGTTTAAAGTCTGTCCATTCTTTTGGGCACCTCTGTCGTTTTCTAGTCGTTTTAGGAGTCACGGTGCGATCGTTTGAGTGCGAAGTAGCAGGTGAATTCGTGTTGCTAAATGACAACGAAGAAATTACAGAGGAACTGTCTACATGATTAGGGCAAAATAGTGCTATCGCAGATCGAATGCACATTAGTAGGAGACGGCATAGGAGTAAGCACCGACAGTTCTAAATTAACCGGGGGTAGAACTGTGGTCAGAAACTTCTAACAGCTCATCAAGCTGTATTAATGGTGAATTTTCGAAACTAGAAGGCACTTCCAAGGAAAACGTACTGGGTTGATTGCTGTAAACATCATTAGCAGACGGATCAGACATGACATTCAGTATTGAGCTGTCGCAGGTGATTTCATTGGGCCCACCATCTTCATGCAGAACTTCTTCCCATACATCAGCTAGTTTCTGACTGATTTCTTCTGCACCGGAAGGCAAAGGTGATGTTTGTTGTGTCATGCCGTTGTCATCAACATTCATAACTGAAGTTAAAAAAAAAAAACTATATTATTTTAGGTATTGATTAAATACTATTTATATTATATATTTTTCAAGACAATGCAATTAATTTAACAAATTTTTACTAAAAAAAACCCTTATATTTAACGATATTTTTGAATGAATAACGTCCTAACTAATCTCATTTTTCCAATAACAATGTCCTATCTTAATATCGAGCCAACAAATCATGACACAGATACCGCAGAAAAACGTCTTATATTCACATGAAACGCTTAGAAATTCAATAATGTTCGTATAAATCCGTCCTAATATTTCATAGGACTTCTACTTTTTACTGTTTATTATGAGAGAAAGAATGATTACCCTGTAAAAGTAATTAGTAATTACATACGGTAATCGTATTTTTGTATTAAAAATTTCTTTATATACATCTCCGTCAAAAAACGTCCCATATAAAAATCGATCACCCGCTACTATTTACTGAGACAAAAAAGCAATAAAGACTTATTATTTATTAATTTAAGAGCCTAAAAGAGTGTATCACAAAATAATACAACTGAAATCGTCAACTTACCAGTTTTTACACTTTTCTTTGTATAAACAGCAGGAATATTAGAAATTGATGAATTAAGCTCAGGCTTTTCTCCATCGACTATAAGCATGTCCAATATTTTTCGTGATCGTGACAT